CTTTATTTATAAAATGTGATATAATTTTATATAGTTTTGTAAAGGTTATAAATAATATGTGGAGAGTACCTGGCAGAATAGGCATTTAGTAACTATTAATTTAGTGTTGTGCCTCTTGTGTCGATTTTCATGCGGTAGAATGCATCTACAATAGGTACAAGTAATTGTCACAAGGCACACACTAGGAGATGAATTGGTTATGGGATTAATTCCTACCATTCTTCCTTCTAATAGTCATGCCAGCTGTGCATGTAACCAGCCCTCAGTTTCACAATGTCATTTCTTTCACCACATAAAGTTTAGGAGTGGATTATTCACCCTCTTCTTTGCCTTTGTGTGGGAAGTGCTATGAAATATGCCTTATCAAGGCTATCCAAATAGTTTTCATTCTCATTGCCATATAGACTAGGAAATCTTATTAACCCTCAGATTCTTTAGCACAGATACATTAGATTTCCTATAAGTAAACAAGCCACAGTGACTAACACACATTTTTTTTTCTGTTTCATTTAAAACTTTAGTCATTCTTCAAACATGGTGAGCTTGTGGTTTTTTAGTTTTGTTTTGTTTTTCAAACCTTTACCAACTTAATTTTCTTGTTGTTGAAAAAGCTAAATTTCTCCCTGGCTGGTGTTGCTCAGTTGGCTGGAGTGCCATCCCTTACACCAGAAAGTTGCAGGTTTGATTCCCGGTCAGGACACATATCTAGGTTGCAGGTTTGATCCCTTGTGGGGAAGTCGGCAGTGTACAAGAGGCAACCGATCAATGTCTCTCTCTCTCTCTCGCTCTCTCTCAAATTAATAAAAACATATCCTCAAATGAGGATTAAAAAAATTAAAAAGAAAAATCTGAATTTCAATAATGTTTGTGTTCAATTCAACAGACATTTTTTTGAATATGTGCCAAGCATTGTGCCAGGTGCTAAGACTAGGAAGATGAAAAAGCCTAGCAACTGCTTTCAACTTATACATACGGTGGAGAAAGAGGGATAGATACGTAAATATAAATATGAAGATGGCGTGATAAATGCCATTGTGTTATGTAATCAGAGAGAAGGGATTCCAAATAATTTGTGTCATGACTTGCCTGGGGTGTCTTTTTCATTTAAAATGTATGCTGTTCTAAACACACAAAGAAAAATCTCAAGTTATCTGCATTTTTTGTTGTTGTTCTTTAAGAACGGAAACTGTTCAGATAACACCTATGTGTGAGCTCCTTTTTTAAAAAAACTTTTAAGTGAGAATCCTCTGAGGATGAATAAAAATCAAGACTACTTCTCTGTGTCAATTGTTTTTTCATTCTGGTTAATAGAAATTTAATCAGCTTGTGGTCTGGGTTGCACGTTACCAGCCTTGGCTAATAAAATGAATCAGATCATTCTTGTAGATTTTGCTCCTGTGGGAATGGTATAGCCAAAAAAAAACACTTATGCTCTCTCGCCTTCAGAAAAGCTCAGCTGTACTAGAATTTTCAGTAATGCTAGATTGTGATACTTAGCCCCATTAATTTTTTTCTCCTAAACTATATTTTTAAAAATACATTTGTCTTAAATTTACATTGACAGGATGGGTTTATTGCTTTGTCATTAGCAGCATCTATAGTTTCTATTGCACACAGAGTATTTGTAGTCATTGGGCATGTATCAGGCACAAAACAATAGTAATTGTCATTGTCTTTTCAGTGGTGGGTCAGTGTATAATTTGTACACTGATGAGGATGAAGAGATTGAGCCTTCTCCTTCTGGGCAACAGATCATTGAAAATTCAATCACTATGAATAAGATGAAGCTGCTGAAGGCTAAGATGGAGAACATGAATCTCAGCAAAAAGGTGAAGCTGTCGGCACTTGGCCAGGCCTTTCTCTAGTTTATCCCTGCAGGGCTCACGTATTGATGTCTGCTAGGAATTGTGGAAAATCATTTGTAAATATTATTCATCTTAAGTTTGTGGCCTCAGTAATTTATTGAGATATTAAGAGTGATGAATTGTTTTGTATAGACTAGCAACAAATTTAATGTGATTATATTGCACTTAAAGTAATTGATGATTTTAAAATTGTCATCATTCTAAAGCTGAGGGTAATAATAGATAGCCTAATCTTAATCTTACAATGATTTTTAATGCGGCATTTATATTTACTTATTATGGATATCTTTGTCTGGGTGTTGACAAAGAGTATGCCTATGTTCAGCTTCAGTAGATATTGTCAGTTTTCCAATGTGATTCCAAAGTAATTGAACCAATTTACATTTTGTCCCATAGTGAGTGAGACTTGTAGTTTTCATGCATTCTTACTAGTGTTTGGTAGGTCATCTTTTATTTTTATCATTCTGGTTGATGTGTAGAGCCATCACATCACAGTTTTGATTTGCATTACTTTGACTAATGAGGTTGAGCTCCCCTCAGATGTTTATTGAGTATTTCGATATTCTTTTTTGCAAACTGACTTTTCAAATATTACCCATTTTTCTATTGAGTTGTATGTTTTTTGCTTATTGATTTTGTTGTTGTTAATCCTCACCCAAGGATATTTTCCCATTGGTTTTTTGTTTGTTTGTTTTGTTTTGTTTTTTAGAGAGAGTGGAATGTAGGGGGAGAGACAGAGGCAGAGAAACACATCAATTGGTTGCTTCCCACACATGCCCCAACCAGGGCCGGGGATTGAGCCTGCAACTGAGGTACATTCCCTTAACTGGAATCGAACACAGGACCCTTCAGTCCAAGGGCCGATGCTCTGTCCACTGAGCCAAATTAGCTAGGGCCGCTTATTGAAATTTTTTTTTTATATCTTAATATATTCTCGATATAAGTCCTTTGTCTCAAATATAATACATATATATGTACATACACACCTCTGTTACTTTGCTTTTCACTCGATTAATAGCGTGTCCCATTTTCTTTATTGAACTATTATATGTACATATAATAAAATTCACAAATCTTTAATGTACAGCTTGATGAATTTTTACATTAATGTGAACTCATGTAGGAACAACTAAAATTAAAATGGACCTTCCTCTCCAGTTTTCCTTATAACCTTTCCTAGTCAATACCTACCTTTTCCATTTCCAGAAATAATTACTGTTCTTATATTTGTCACCATAAATTAGTTCTGCCTATTTTTGAACTTTGTATAAGTGAAATAATATGTTCTCTCTCTCCTTTTTTTGGCCTGGTTTCTTTTGCTCAACCCATAATAGTCATTATAGTCGACAACTCATCGTGCTGTTGTATGCATCAGTTCATTCTTTGTTACTGCTGTGTACTATTCCACTGTATGACTATACTTATGATTGTTTCTTCTCCTTTTGACAGACATTTGGGTTGTTTCTAGTTTTTGGCTTTTCAACAATAAAGCTGCTTTGAACATTCTTATACATGTCTTTGGTGGACATACACACTCTTCTTTGGGGCATGTACCTAGGAATTGTCTTATAGTCATGGGGTAGGTATATATGTAACTTTAGTTTCTGTGCTAAACTGTTTTGTCAAGTGTCTGAATCAATTGACACTCCCATCAGCAACACTAGAGTTCTAGTTTGTACCACATCCTTAACACTTGATATTTTCAGTCTTTATCATTTTAACCATTCTGGTGGGTGTGTAGTGATTTTCATTTACATTTCTCTGATGAGGAATAATGTTAAGTTTTTCATATGCTTATTGGCCATTAAGATACTGACTTTTGTACCAACTGTTTTTATATCATTTTATATATACACTAGGAGCCGGGTGCACGAAATTCGTGCACTGGGTGTGTGTGTGGGGCAGAGTGTCCCTCAGCCCAGCCTGCCCCCTCTCACATACTGGGAGCCCTCAGGCGTTGACCCCCATCACCCTCCAATCGCAGGATCGGCCCCTTGCCCAGATCTGACGCCTCTAACAGAGGCATCAGGCCTGGGCAGGGGACCCTCATTTCCCCCCATCACTGGTTCGGCCCCCAGCCCAGGCCTGATGCCTCTGGCCCAGGCGTCAGGCCTGAGCAGGGGACCCCCAGACCCCTCTGATTGCTGGCTCTGCCCCTTGCCCAGGCCTGATGCCTCGGCCAGAGGCGTAGACCCCCATCACCCTCCGATCGCCTGATCGGCCCCTTGCCCAGGCCTGACGCCTCTGCCAGAGGTGTCAGGCTTGAACAGGGGACCCCCATCTCCCCCTGATCACTGGCTCTGACCCCCGCTCAGGCCTGAGGCCTCTGGCCCAGGAATCATGCCTGGGCAGGGGACCCCCATCTCCCTCTGATCGCTTGCTCCACCCCCCGCCCAAGCCTGACGCCTCTGACCCAGGCTTCAGGCCTGGGCAAGGGGACCATCATGTCCCCCCAATCCCTGGCTCTGCCCTCTACCCAAGCCTGATGCCTCTGGCCCAGGCATCAGGCCTGGGCAGGAGACCCCCAGCCCTCCGCCCAGGCCGGATGCCTGGGCCAGAGGAGTTGACCCTCATCACCCTCCGATCACCAATCACTGGATCGGCCCCTTGACCAGGCCTGAGGCCTCCGGCAGAGGTGTCAGGCCTGGGCAGGGGACCCCCAGCTCCCCACGGTTGCAGGCTCTGCCCCTGCCCAGGCCTAACGCCTCTGGCCAAGGCATTAGGCCTGGGCAGGGGACTCCCAGCGCCCCGAGATCTCCC